ACCGCCGGTAGTAGTTAGCTAACCCCAAGAAAGCCTGCACCTCCTTCGCTGTACTCGGCTGCTTCCACTCCTTCAGGACTGCTACCTTGCTGTTGTCTAATTCCAGCTTCCCATGCGAAATGACAACTTGAAGTGTGATGGGCAAGTGGAACAAGCTCACGGCACTTAGGCTTGTTCAAGTTGTTTCTGGCTGAGAATTCTTCCCAAGAGAATTTCCTTAGAAGCAAGGAAGAACAAACAGAAAGAGAAACAGCAACTACTCTCTAATTCCTACGAATGCATTTTTATATGTACAGTACATTTACAATTCAGACATGCGGCTCAGAATGTCGATTCGGGTGGCCAGCCCTAACATCGAGCCGCATTCCATATTTCTACTCACGTTTGTACACCTCACTGCACCCACACACGTGTTACATTTCTATTCCTCCAAGTCTAGACTTTCGCCACCTGTCCCACGCGGAAGTCCCCCCAAGTCAGTCAAGGCACGAAACCTCAGTTTCGCCCTTCTCACGTGGGTCCCCCACGTCCTGCTCACTTCCGCCCCTTTGCTGCCCACGTTCGCAGTTGCATGCTGCTGCTGCATGCTTTCGCCTCCCGTGCGCTTCACGCTGCCTCTAGTGCAGCCCCCACTTGTTACAGCAAGCACGCGTAAATTGAGAGGGATTAGGGAATATCGGGGAGATTTCTATCATGTTGCAAAACGACTTGCATGCTGCTGCATTCTCAAGGTCAAGTTGTCTGCTCAAGCTGCTAAGGATCATGTGTTGGATGAGAATCACGAATCTAAAGAATCATGGATCGTGCCAAATGGCACATCCGGTGTGCCCCTTGGCTTTGATAATCCGCTGCCATGCCACGATTGGTGCCACTAAGACTATCTTGTGCATGAGGTTTTGATAACTGGAGCGGCATGAGCTTGAACAACGAGACACGGGAAACATATCAGGGCACAAAGAAGGGGAGCATAGCAGCTGCTGCAGTTTTCTCCTGCTACTCTCTTCAGAGGAAAATTGGTGACAAACCCCTACGAGTGCTGGACAAGTTTGAGGCTGAAACCTGAGCAGATTGAAACTGCTCTACACCCATACCTAAGCAAAGATAGAGGTTGAATCCACTCTACACACATTTCGACAGGCAAGAAGGCCATGGACAAGGCAAGGAAGGCAAGGTGTCGGCAGGTTCCAGCCACATCTGAAATGTGCCAACTGTGTGAAGGAAGCCCCAGCGGGCAGGATAAACTCTTTAAGCACTTGATCTTAAACCTCCATAGAAAACTGCGAGGGCAAGGTAGTATCTGCTACCTAGGCCCTCTAGCTACGGTTACGACCGAAGGTGTCTTTGCGTTGTATGATGCACTTTCACCTACAAAAAACATAAATAAAAAGCTTGAACAGACTTTGTTGGTACGTTATTTCTGTTGGTGTTTCCACTGCTTCGCACTGCCCGTGACACGATCACAGCTGAGCTGAAATGCGCTCCGCGTCATCGTGGTGACACCTGAGTGTTCCTGCTGGAATGCTCCAACTAACGTCACCAAGACTACATAAGACATGAAAGCTATCAGGGCAATAAATACATGAGAGAGGGTGGGGGTCGAGGGCAGGGGGGGCGCCTCGGGGGACCAACTGAACGCCAACTTTAAGTTCGTCTAGTACTAGAACGAACCTTGGGAGGCTGCAAACGGGACACAGCGGATGGGAGAAACCACAGCGAGAAACGTCAGAAAGAAGAGTAAGCGGAGTGGAATGATGCGTCCCGCGCCTTCCGTTGCCATCGTGGTGCGGCAAGCTTCCACTAAACCCTGAATTAGTAGTAATTTTAATCGCTTGTGAATCTGTGCGTAATCAGTAGCAGTGGTTCTAAGCGTCAATAGAAACGCGTAAATACTTGTGGACGGTAAATAAAGAAACTACTGTATGATGAGAGCCTACTCGTAGAACCTGGAGTGCAGACGACATCAAGTTATGATGAGGAATCCATGAAAGTTAGCTTGAAATGAAGCTAGAGGAAAAGAGAGTGGCAGGAGGAGGTGAGGGTTGGGGATGGAAGTCCACTTTCTTGCCAAGATCGCTTTGCAATTTCCCATGTGCCTGCGACAGGCCAACATAGCTGACGAGCGTCAAATTCGCGAGTTGCGGCAAATGCGAAAATATCGTCAAGTTGCCCTGCTCTGGCGAATTCCAAGGCGATACGAGTTTCGGTGGTGGCGTTTTATGCCAACAGGGCGCGTCGAGCCACCGAAAATCTCGCCAGGTCTGCGAGTCAGAAAGATAGGACAGCGCTCCCTGTTTGACGAACACGACCTCTTCATTCGCTCGCGCAATAACGGAGCGAAACAAACAAAACCCACACGACTACTACAGCAAATGACGAATGATTCTTCCAGCATACCTTAAGCCTACAAACATGTTTGGAAAATCGAAATATGGTATAAACGACCCGCGCCTGGTGACATGGTGAGCTCGCCGCTCATTCCGCGACCTACCTTACCGCGACCTAGAACTGTAAAGTGGTCGCTAGGCTAGTGATAAGGTAGATTTGACATACAGTTGACGGTTCAACAGAATGGGCCTCTAATAGCCATGATTGCTTCATCTGCCCTTCTTCCGTAACTTCTCTGATGTAATTTCGAAGGATAGTCGAAACCGGAACGTCACTTTGCTGGATACCGTATGAGCTGACTTAGCAATAGCACTAGTAACACTGCTCACCGCAATCCCTAATGTTTTCCATGCGATGGCAAGTCGAGCGAGGGTCACGTGCGTCGCTAGCTGCTCCGTGAGCGCCGAGAAATTCCGAATGGCCTACCAGTTGTAGCGCCACGCGTATTGAGAGAGGCGGCGTCACGAGCATCGCAGGCATCGCAGCGAGTCGAATGGCGTCAATTGACGATCAACGGAACCGTCAGCTTGCCTTTGCTGAGAATTTTCGAGTCATAATCGTTTCGATGCTGCTTGGGGGGATTGTGTTCCCCCCTCTTTGCTCCTCTTCCCATGCATGTTCCCCCTGCTTCGCACCAACGTTTGCTGTTTCATTCTGTGCTTTGTTGTGCGTTCCATTTCTTATGTACCCTGCTCTCCTCCTCCCCCTCCCCTTCTCCCTGTTTCCCCTTTCTTTCCCCTCCAATCCACCTGCCTTCCCGCCTCCTCATTTCTTCTCCCCACTCCCTCCCCCCTCCTTCATGCGACCTGCCATCCTCTCACGGGCCACGACAACCTGCTGGAGAGGATGGCAGGATTGCAGGATGGCAGGGCGACAGGGCGGCAGCCATGCACCACTCGCGTTTGCAGTGGGTCCGCGCAGCCATGTCGATCAGAAAACCATGTCGTCGCCTTAGCAACTGACCAGACGGCCTTAGCGTTCTGTCAAGTGGCCGTCGGCATTGCCTTCCTCATCGTCACTTTCAGCACTGGTGGGAGAATTGACTTCTCCCGACCTCCTCCTCTCCCCTGCTCTTCAAGGAAGCGCGTTCTCCCGCGGTTAGATGACTGACGCCTTCCTCGAGGTGGGTGAGAGGGTTGGGGAGAGGTGGGCGCGGGAGAGGGGAGTTGTGGGTGCGGGGATAGGGCTGGGGGGTAGTTGGGAAGGGGCTGGGAGATGGTTAGTCGTGGAGGGGGGTGGGGGTGGGGATGGGGGAGGGGGGGAGGGGGGGGGGGGTGAGGGGGCATGGAGAACGAAAGAGGGTGTTCCCGCGACGAGATCGGACGGCTTCCTCGAGGTGCGGGAAAGGGGCGGGGAAGGGGTGGGCGTGGGGGAGGGGAGATGTGGGGGCAGGGAGAGGGCTGGTGGCTGGGAGTGGGCTAGGAGAGGGGAGAGGGGGGGAACAAGAGGGGAGGGGGAGAGTAGGGAGAGGGGTGGAAGGCATGGACAAAGAAATCGGGTGCGTTCGCAACAAGATTGCAGACGCATTCCTCGAGGTGCGCCGCGGGGAGAGGGGGGGAAGGAGGAGAGGGGGGGGGGGGGGGGGGGAGGTGGGAGTGTTGGGTTGGTTGGTGATGAAAGTGAGAGGGTTGTGCAGCGAGGAGAAATGAGTGACGACGGGGATTGCTAGCAGTCGTTTTTCGCTCGAGTCCCAACCCAACCCCTCTCTCTTCTCCACTCTCCGCCACCCGTGCTACATTTATCGCTCAAGTGTGCACACATTGTGCGACATCCCCAAACCTTGGTCTCCCTGCCTGTTCCCCTCTGCGCCCTTCCCACTCTTTCCGCCTTCCTGAAGGTGCACCGGGGAAGATGTGTGAGGACTTGTGCCAGCAGTAGCAGACGGCATGTTGCTGCGCAAGCTTGGTTTGGGTTGTCTCAAAGCAACCAGGCCTTTTCTCTCCCCTCTGTGCCTGACAACCTCCGTCACCCTGCCCCTCCGTGTTCCCGTCTCCACCCCCCACCCCCCCCCCCCCCCCCCCCCCCCCCCCCCCCCCCCACTGCAGGTGTGTGTGTGAGTGTGTGTGTGAGGGCTGTGTGCCAGCAGACTGCATGGTGTTGTGCAAGCTGGTGTCGAGTCGTCCCCTCCTCTCCCCCAACCCCCCCCCCCCCCCCCCCCCCCCCCCCCCCCCCCCCCTCTTCTGCCCCCTTTCACCCCCGCCAAGTGTGTGAGGAGGACCATATACCAGCAGTAGCAGATCGCATGGTGCTGCGCAAGCTGGTTCCAAGTTGACCCCTCCTCCCACCTCTTCCCCCTTTCTCCCCCCGCCAGGTGTGTGAGGACGTGTACCAGCAGACCGCATCATGGTGCTGCGTAAGCTCGCGCAGGACATGCGCGAGTGGATACACCGGCGGGTGAGCCATGGGATAAGGGGTGATTGTTATGGGATGGTGCCGGTAAGCAATGGGGGGGCCCGCGAGGAGGGGAGAAGGGGGATTAGAAAAGACGGAGGGATAGAGGGTGCTGGCACAGGACATGCGCGAGTGGCCGGCCTGCGGGTGGGCGAGAGGGGCAGAGAAGGGGGGGAGGGAATACGGGGGATATGGAAGGGTTAAGAGGCGATGGGGGGAAGAAGATGGCAAGGGTTCAGGAACGTGAGGTCTATGAAGCAGGATGTAGGGGCTCTCTCCTCTGCTCTTTGTCACCCCATTCTTCCCCTAACCCTCCCCCCCTCCCCCTGCACGCCTCTTTCCAACGCCTCTTCCCCACTCCTCTCGCCCACACCACTCCACCACACCTACTCCCCACTCCCTCTCTCCTACCCCTCTCCCCCACGCCTTTCCCCCACGCATTTTCCTCACCCCCCTCTCCCCCCCCCACCCCTTTCCCCCACGCATTTTGCTCACCCCATTCCCCCACCCACCCCCTTCCCCCACGCATTTTTCTCACCCCTCTCCCCCACCTCTTTCCCCCATGCATTTTCCTCACCCCCCTCTCCCCCCCCATCCCTTTCCCCCTCGCATTTTGCTCACCCCTTTCCCCCACCCACCCCTTTCCCCCACGCAATTTCCTCGCCCCTCTCCCCGTTCAAGAGGATGCTGATTTAAGAGTGAAGGTTGGAGAGTGCAGGAGGGTCTTGCTGCTGTAGTACAAAAGCCTGCCAGAAGTCTTGGGTTCCTATTGGGCTGCCAAGCACTTTGACGCCTCCATCGCCTAGAGGCGGGAGGCTGGTGATGTTGGCAGCCCCTCCGGCCGAGACCCAGTGGGTCACTTTGGCGGACACTTTTGGAGCTGAGAAGGGTGTGTGCAGGGTTCTGGCGCAGGAGCAAGTGGGGAGGGCTGCCTGTACGTGTTGATGATGTACGGTGAGGAACCTTGGAGAGCTGAGTTCCGTTGGGGTCTCCAATATGCCATGCGCCCAACGGAGTCTACAGGTTACCTGCAGCTGCTCGTCTCTGTTGCTGGTCTGTGTGTGCCCGTCGCACCCAGCTCGCCAAGAAGACCTCTTTCTCTCAGAGCTCGAGGAAGGGCCCACATGGTTCGGGCTCACACCATGATCACATCAGATAACCACCTCAGTATCCCATGATCTCATCACCCCAAGATCGCATCTACCCCATGGCAGAGCACCGTGGCAGGGTGCACTAGGTGTGCTGAGTGCAGCCGTCACTATCCCTTCCCCTTACACTTTCCCATTTCCACCCCTTTCTCCCTTTCCCTCCTGTAGCCCCTCCGATTCTCCATCCCGATTGCCATCCGCACCTCTCCAGGTGAACACAGTGCAGCAAGCAGCGTCCATCACACTGCTCCAATCCGCCTATCCTGCATCACCTCATTGCTCTCTCTTGCTCCCTCTCACCACCCTTCTCCCCTATCACCCACCAGTGTGCATAGTCCTGTCAGTAGCATCCACCCCCTGCCATCTCTACACCCACACATTGATCAGCAAGCCCTCATCTCTACACTGAGGTGAGTAGTGCGTTGTATCGAACCTGCTTCTACCGAAACGGGTCTCTCCTCTAATTTGTGATCTGGCTTGCTGCCACTGCCATTGGCAACTCATCATCTCTCGTGTCCACCCATCAATTTGGAGGAGTCAGTCTCATGATCTTATTGCTTCATCACACGTTCACCCCATCCACACAGCACCATCCCCATTACCCCATCAACCAATCAGACCATCACCTCTTCACCCAACCAGCTCTTTGCCTCATCATCCCATCACCCCATCACCCCATCCCATGATTGGTGGGGCGCATGGTGCAGGCCAGTGGTACGGGTTGGTAGTTTGCCGTCCACAAAAGCGAGGAGCTGCCCTTGATCTCCCCTACCTTTCCATTTTCCCTTCAATCCCAACAGTCCCTATTTTGCAGGCGCAGAGCCAACATCGCCAGCGTTAGAGCAGTGAGCTGTCTCAACAGTGGACTGGCTCATTCCAATTGGGCGCCTTTCCACCAGGCACTGAGCTCTGCTAGTTCTCAGCCTTCATCCTCCCTGCCTGCCCTGCCTTCCCTTCCTTCCCTTACCACCCTCGACTACCATTACCAACCCCTACTCTGCAGGCAGTACCCGGCAGGTGCAAGGCCAAGATCCCCACTCGCATCACCGTCGCCTTCATTGAAACCTTGGGGACCTCTGGCACTTGGCTTTGCCTCGTCCCACCCTTCGCCATCCTCGCCCTCGCAATAGAGAGCAGCTCATTGCTCAACGATGTTGATTTCTGATTTCCGCGATTTGTCATTGCGTGGATGCTGCTGAATGGAAGTCTGCTGCTGCTGCTCTCCAAGGGTGGCGGCATGATTTTGTCCTTCCTTGCCCATTGATCCCCATTTTGAGAGTGTCAAGTCGTTCTACTTCTAAACAGCAGCCGGCTAGTTATGTTGCCCAGGAGTGACGGCATGTTCCTGTTATTATTACCCACGGATCCCTCCGACATTTGACCATCTGGCATCAATGCAAGAACTTCTCTTTGGTGTACCGATGCAGGGAGGGGAAACAGATGAAGGTGAAATGGAACACAACTAGAGGGGATGGATCCTCGCCTGACTGCCTCCCACCGATGCCACCACCAACCCCTCCAGCAACCGAGGGGAAAGGGTGGACTCGTTTGCAGCGGACCTGGCAATATGCATTTGGTCAATCTGAAAAGAACTTAATATAATTGGTTGTTTCATTCAAACTACGGTAGCCCAATTTTGCATATTTGGCAAGTAAGCAGTGCAGATATAACTTGGGACAAACAGAGAAAAAAGGGTATCACTTTTTGAACTTAAAAAGGTCCTCTTTAGACCAGGGGGACCCACTTTCCGGTTATATCCAGAAAAACAGCCGCATCTTGTCTAGGTTGCGGAACCTGCCATTCTGATTTGATCAACGGAACTCATGCTGGTGGATAGCAGCACATGTGAGGATCAGCTGGAGTCTGGGGTGCCGCGGTGAGAGAGAGGATACGCGGGGGAGCGATGATACGCTAGGGGGGCGGACGAGTAGAGCGAGGCGGGGTGGTGCAGCAGCTAAAGTTGCTCGGAGGGCCTGCCCGGGTGGTGAGGGATGAGCTCATCAGTGAGCTTTTGCACCCGATGGCCTTCAGATGACTTTTGAGTCGACTCAAAAGACAGCTAGAGTTGGTCCGAGGGCCTGCCCCCGGGTGGTGAGGGAGGAGCTCATCACTGAGCGCGTGCACCTGATGGCCTTCAGACTCACGTGCCTTGTTGCGCGACAGCCTGCCACACAGCACACACACACACACGCATGCACACACACGCACGCGCGCACACGCGCACACACAGACACACGCGCACTGCACGCACAGCACGCACTCGTACACACACACACACAAACAACCCCCCCCCCCCCCCCCCCCCCCCCCCCACTCCCCCCCCCCTCCCCCTCCCCCCTCTCCCCCCCCCCCCCCCCCCACAACCCACACCCACCCACCATGCAGAAGGCGAGGACGCCCCCCACGGGCATGACGGCGAGGGTCCAGAGGGCGTGAGGCCACGTGTCAAAGTAGGGCAAGGAGGCGAGCGAGGACCACGGCTCGTGCAGCAGCGAGAAGATGCCGCACACAAGCGCCATCACGGGCGCCAGATACTGCAGCAACGTGAGCAGCGGGTTGGTCAGGCCTGTTGGGGTAGAGGGAGGGCGGACTTGCGGTTGGTGGGAGGCAAGGGGAACTAGGAGGACTGGAAAGGAGATAGTGGCATGAGGATGGCGTGACCATAGCAAATATGCGAGGAAGGGTGAGAAACCGGAGGATTGTGGCGTGTGGGAGAGCAAGCACAGCACACAGGCACTGTGGAGCTGGGGCTGCACCCGGAAATATGAGGTGAGTGAGGAGGAAGGGGCAACGCGACAGATGCTTACCAAGTGTGTCCCTCTGTCACCAGTAGAAGCGACGACAGCATGGTGAGATGGTGAGTAGATGTTGTGAGCGTAAAGGGTAAACAGGAGACGAAAAGAGTGGGTTAGTTGGTTGATGCAGCAGCACACATAGCAGCACAGCAGCAGCACAGCAGCACACAGTAGCACAGCAGCACACAGCAGCATACACAGCAGCAGTGAGCAGCAGCTTACCTGGAGGAGCACTTGCAGCAGCACCCATCGGAGACCCGCCATGAATGAGGCCAGCATGACGAAGATGAAGCCCAGCAGCTCAAACTCCGTCTCCCCCGCCACTGGGAGCACCACACGCCACTCGAGGGCACACCACACGGAATGTCAAAAGCGCGAATTAAGTCAAAGAACTCTGCTCGACGCCCATGTATAAATCAGGCGTTGCGTTGCAATGCTGATTGGGGGGTGGAGCGCACGGAAATGGTAGTGATACAAGAGGAAAACTGAGGCACGGTAGAAAAAAATGTTGGATGGTCATCGAATTACCCTCCCAGCCCCCTCCCCCTTCCGTTCTCCCTTCCGTTCCCCCTCGCCCCCCCCTCCCCACCCTATGCCGAGCACGCCGACGGATATGATGAGCCTGGTGCCCACCCATGCTTCTACTCTATGCATCGCAACGTGCTGTGTGTGTGGAGCGCACCCAAGTTTGAGTGCCACACTGGACCTTTTCTGCAACGGATAAGATATCACAAACACTTTTGAGTACACCCACGCTTGAGCAAACCCCCGTAAGCGGATCATTTTGACCAAGGAGACTGCAGTGAATGAAGCGGATAAGATATCGCACAGTGACGACGAGGGAGAATAAGGGCAGGACAGCGTACCATGGAGTAGAAGGTCCGGGTGACGAGCGCGAGGGAGAAGCTGGAGAGGGCAATGTCAAGCGATGTGGCCACTGCCGTGGGCACCACTGCATGCACGGGGCAGAGCACACAGGGCACAGGCCAACACACGTTTAAACAACTAAGCATCTATTAGAAAGCCGCCTGAACCGAACCAGCCTCAATGGACAAGTTGCAGAACGTGCAAGCACGAGTTCCTGAGCGCGCCCATCCCCATTCTCAATCCCTCCCTCCCACCCACACGGCGAACCTCGCACGAAGTAGTCGCGCCAGGAGATGGGGGAGGCGGGCAGCCACGAGTGGCAGCAGAGGTGACTTTTGAGGCGACTCAAAAGTCAGTTGACTAGAAACACTTTTGAGTCAACTCATCAAGTTACCTCGCACCACGTGACCGATCAGTACCTTGTTGTACCTGCCCACCCACCCACGGCCACCACCCGCCCCGCCACCCACCCACCCACCCATCCATTCACCACCGCCCCGCCCGTGCGTACATGCATGGCGATGCGATAGTGCAATGCATAGCGGGAGTGCACAGGTACAGCAGGGGGCGATAAAGGGTTGCTTGCAAGGGGAGATAGGAACGGGCGAAAGGGCCCTTTAGATGGATGGCCAGCCCAGTGAGCAATTTGATCACGCCCTGGGGGAGTGGCAACTACAGGGAGGGTGGCTACACAGGAAAAGCGACATGCTTACAGGGAGCGCGGCATGCTACAGCGCCATGCTTAGAGCAGCATGCTTACAGGGAGCGCGGCATGCTACAGCGCCATGCTTAGAGCAGCATGCTTACAGGGAGCGCGGCATGCTACAGCGCCATGCTTAGAGCAGCATGCTTACAGGAAGCGCGGCATGCTACAGCGCCATGCTTAGAGCAGCATGCTTACAGGGAGCGCGGCATGCTACAGCGCCATGCTTAGAGCAGCATGCTTACAGGGAGCGCGGCATGCTACAGCGCCATGCTTAGAGCAGCATGCTTACAGGGAGCGCGGCATGCTACAGCGCCATGCTTAGAGCAGCATGCTTACAGGGAGCACGGCATGCTACAGCGCCATGCTTAGAGCAGCATGCTTGCAGGGAGCGCGGCATGCTACAGCGCCATGCTTAGAGCAGCATGCTTACAGGGAGAGCGCCGTGCTGAAGGTGTGCCAGAGCAGCACGAGCAGCACCACCTTAACCGCCGACCACAGCCACGGCGCGCACCATGGCGACACGCGCAACGCCGATGCTGACCCAGCAACGTCATCTTCCAGGTCCGCTGGCACGATAACATCTTCGCTATTCGCCATAGGCCGACTCGATTCCGTGATCGATTTGACCTGGATGGCATTGCTTGTGGCAAGTCGCGGCGAGAGCAGCGCTTGGCTCTCATTGGTCGACATGATGGCGAACAGGAACAGCTACGATGGTCAACCCTAAACTCCGCACTAATGAATTCTCGTGGCAGGGTGGCGTGGAGATTCGATCATAGCTCTCAACGCGAAGAGATGGACGAACGCGACTGAGTGTCGCACACAGGGTCGCCAGATCGCAAAATGCTGCGCTTGGAGCTTTTTTCCAGATAGCGCGTTTTGAGACGTCTCTAAACTAGATTGCTGCGCTTGGAGCTTTCTTTCAGAGCGAGATCGACCCGAGCAGCGAGCGACTGCACGCGCTAGTCGCTCAAAATGCGGCGCCACTCTGTAGGACGCCGTGACGGAAGCAGGGAAGCGCCAGATACGCCCAAAAAAAAAAAATCAGCATTCGGTATCAGTGCGCTTGTGATCGCTTGTGAATCCGGATACCACAAGCGCTTGTGATAACTAGAAACGCCACGCGACTCGTAGATTTTGCGGAAACTAAGATGGTGGGAGGAGCATGTGAGCATATGTGTGTGCCCGACATTGCAAGAGCCCACTTGAACCTATTCTACGACAGTAGTTCAGCTTGCATGGTTTGCCTAGTTGATGCTCGGTTACCACTCGCCTCATTCAACGAAGAAGCACGAAGTTGCAAAAGTACAGCTAGTGGGGTACTACAAACAAATGTTGGTCGACAAACCAACAAAGGAATACGAACCATGTTTAGGATGGCAACAGCTAACTCACAAGCTCAGGCATCGAATTTGGAGTCCCGTCCCAAATTCGTACCTTGATTACGGCCGTGCTTGGGCGAAATGAGAACGACGCAGGGCCTGCTTGTTTGGCAGTTCACTTCGCGGAACTAATAGGTGTGCGAGATAAATTTCATCTCGCAAAACACGGGTGGTAACATACAAATGGCAATCGGCTGTGGATTCTGAAATGGAATGGTTGTGTCGAACTCGAAATTCGAGTACTGGGTCATAATCTGACCTCCCGTATGACTCCTTCCTACTACACCTGATGCCTATTTCAGTTCCCTTTCTCCATCTTTCCCTGTGCTCCTCTCTCGTGCACGCGCTCCCCATGGGAGAATGGGACTGTATTTGGGTAGGCTAGCGTGTCTTGTCTGGGAAACTCGAAGAACTTATTCGAGGTCAAGAATATCTTAGTTTTGTCGTGGGCTAGTAACGCGCGGGCCGTTGGCTGTGAATGTCGACCACTGGGCGTATGGAGTGGCAGTGGGCGTGTTCAGAGTGGGCGGTTGAGTGAGCATTAGGGTGTACAGCTATGTCTAGCCACCATAATCTGAGTCGTGACGCATACTAGGCGTGCATTGCAAGAGCGCTATCTCCCATCGCAAGAGAAGGCGACTCGAATCGCCTCTACGAACCACTACGACTCGCGGCGGCGCCATTCCCTTTGCGACTCGTACTATACTCCGCGCATCCTGTGCTCTCGTCACTATTTTTTGGTCCGCTCGCTCCGTCGCAACACTTTCGAATTTGCCGCGTCGCGCCATCACGCGCCACGCGCTGCAGATCGACGTACCGCGCCGCCGCTGGGACACTTCGAGCCGCGGAAACGATAGTCTAAGAAACCCTAGTTAGAGGTAAGCCTCCCCATCCATTCCCCAGTCAGACCTTCGCTTTCAAATCTTTGCAAGCCTGAGGCTCACAACTCATGGTCTAGGCGCTTCTAGTCTGTCAGAGGGGGTCGATGCGCAACTGTTGGTTACACACGGAGTTGCTTACGGATTCTGCACACTGCCAAGAGACTAGCAGAGCCCCTTGACGCATTCGTTGCCCTTATTAGCATTGCTGCTTTCGCCCTGGTTCACGGAGTCACGCTGTCACTCACCCAGGCAATGACCGTCCAAGCATGTGACCCAGCTCTCTCACTGACCTGGGCTCTCGTTGACCTGGGCTCTCGTTGACCCGGGCTCTCATTGACCTAGGCTCTCGTTGACCTAGGCTCTCGTTGACCTGGGCTCTCATTGACCTAGGCTCTCGTTGACCTAGGCTCTCGTTGACCTAGGCTCTCACTGACCTGGGCTCTCGTTGACCTGGGCTCTCGTTGACCTGGGCTCTCATTGACCTGGGCTCTCATTGACCTGGGCTCTCATTGACCTGGGCTCTCATTGACCTGGGCTCTCATTGACCTGGGCTCTCATTGACCTGGGCTCTCATTGACCTGGGCTCTCATTGACCTGGGCTCTCATTGACCTGGGCTCTCATTGACCTGGGCTCTCATTGACCTGGGCTCTCATAGACCTGGGCTCTCATTGACCTGGGCTCTCATTGACCTGGGCTCTCGTTGACCTGGCCTGGGCTCTCGTTGACCTGGACTCTCGTTGACCTGGCTCTCATTGACCTGGGCTCTCATTGACCTGGGCTCTCGTTGACCTGGGCTCTCATTGACATGGGGCTCTCATTGACCTTGGGCTCTCATTGACCTGGGCTCTCATTGACCCTGGGCTCTCATTGACCTGGGCTCTCATGAACCTGGGCTCTCATTGACCTGGAATCTCGTTGACCTGGGCTCTCGTTGACCTGGACTCTCGTTGACCTGGGCTCTCATTGACCTGGGCTCTCGTTGACCTGGGCTCTCATTGACCTGGGCTCTCATTGACCTGGGCTCTCATTGACCTGGGCTCTCATTGACCTGGGCTCTCATTGACCTGGGCTCTCATTGACCTGGGCTCTCGTTGACCTGGGCTCTCGTTGACCTGGACTCTCGTTGACCTGGGCTCTCATTGACCTGGGCTCTCATTGACCTGGGCTCTCATTGACCTGGGCTCTCATTGACCTGGGCTCTCATTGACCTGGGCTCTCATGAACCTGGGCTCTCATTGACCTGGAATCTCATTGACCTGGGCTCTCGTTGACCTGGGCTCTCGTTGACCTGGGCTCTCATTGACCTGGGCTCTCGTTGACCTGGGCTCTCATTGACCTGGGCTCTCATTGACCTGGGCTCTCATTGACCTGGGCTCTCATTGACCTGGGCTCTCATTGACCTGGGCTCTCATTGACCTGGGCTCTCATTGACCCGGGCTCGGACTGACTTGGGCTTTATTTTAGGCTCTCATTGTTTCCCTGGTGTGTTTCGTTGCCCTGGTTCAGAAACTCACGCTGTCACTACGCAGTCAAGAATTACCACGCTATGAAATGGATCTCTTAGCGATGCTAACATAGTAGAAACAGCCTAAAGCTAATTGCTAGGTGCCCAAGTTAGAAACAGTCTATGCTTGATTTCAGGGTGCGAAGGCAGAGCGACCCCAAGCTGATGATTAGGTTATCTCTGACCTAACTGCAAGTGACCCCACATTTGTCGAGGCTAACCTATGACTGACCTAATCTATGTCGGGCTTGCTTGTGCTTGGCCTAGCCTGGGACTAGGCATGAGCAAATAGCGACTTGTTTTAGTAACGAGGTGACGCGAGTTTTACTCTTTACTCGTCCAAAAAGGCGAGTAACCTACCTATTTGTCACGGATAAGAAAATGATCACAGCGAGGCAAGTGATACTCGCCTCGCCAGGAACACCTGATGTTGAGTTCATTATTTTTCATGGAAACATTGATCTGCAACCTCTCCCCCCCCCCCCCCACACCCACCCCCCCCCCCACCCTCCCCCTCCCCCCCTCCCCCCTCCCCCCCCCCCTCCTCCCCCCCTCATGAAAGTACTTTCATTTTCGCCTATATTCGCCTGTTAGTGTCCTAGCATCTGACTGACCTGCCTTGTCATTGTCCTACCTGCGAGTGACATGGTTTCTGTTTGTTCTTGCTTGTGCTTAACCTTACTGGTGATTGGCCGAGCTTGGGACTGTTGCAGCCTCCGACTGGGCCTAATCTGTGAGTGACCTAGTTTGTAGCTTACCCAGCTTGTCACCAACTTGGCCTCTGAATGACTATCAATAGGCCCTGACTAACTAGCGTGTGGGGGGGCTAGATTCGATGGACCTATCTTGTGAGGGTCTTGCCTCTGACTGACCTTTCGTGTGACTGACCTTTCGTGTGACTGACCTTTCGTGTGACTGACCTTTCGTGTGACTGACCTAGCCTTTGACCAACCTAGTTAGCCTAGCTCCCAACTGGCCCAGTTCCTGACGGACCTGAGTTATCCTGTAAGCAGTGGTTAGATTTGATTCACAATCACATATGACGATGGAGATTTGTTAAGGTTCGCTGCTTGTTTGGGATTTGAATCGCTACCAGGACTGAAAATCTCGTCTTGATTTGGCTGGGATACAGCTAGGCTAGGTGCCGGATTGAGGGGAGGAGGTTAAGATGCCGTTGTTGGAAACTGTGCGACAGAACAAGTGCAGCAAATTTGTGTGGACAGAAAACGTCGGGTAAGGCTGATACGGTCAGGGTGGTTCAGGGTGGTCAATGGATTGGGAAGGAGGTGGCGATATGAATGTAGAGCATTTCTTCTCTTTTTTTTTGCGTCAATCTGACAATATGCCAATTTGCACGGCGGGGCGATAAAAGTTGTTCTATAATCGCCCTGTAGTATTCTTGTATAGTGTAATGCGTAGTTCCGAGTGCATTATGGATTGCCAAAGGCCAGTGGATTTACACAGTATGCTCGCTAGTGACAGACAAAGGCTATGATTCAACCAGCCTACGATCAACCTAGTCAGTGACTAACCAAGCACGTTTTCCAGCCTCTGATGGACCAGACTTGTGATTCCTTTACAGGTGACCAACTGGTGACTGGCCTAGCTTCTGACCACCTACGAGCATGATCATTTTTTTGCAGCTGTCACCGTTGTCTCATCAGGTTGCTAATTCTGAGCTTCACCGAAAACAATTCCATTGCGCTCCTTACCACCACCAATAACCCCTTCACTCACTTATCCATGCTACTACTCTGGCCTAATACTTTTTGCGATGGCCGAGCCAATTCTGGCTTAATTATGGCCAGGGTCTGTAAGTTGTCTCTCAA